ACAGATGTCTCTTTATAAAGAGCTGAGAAGACAAATGCCGCTTTATACAAAGACAAGGAGACAACTGTCTCTCTATATAAACAGACAAGGAGACAAGTGTCTCTTTATATAAACAGACAAGGAGACAAGTCTCTCTTTATAAAATAGCAATATGAAGACAAGCGTGTCTTTATAAAATAACATCAAGGAGACAAACGGGGACAGGCGCTGCTCCTTAGAGCGCAACGATATCTTTTTCTTTCTATCTTTCTTCTTGTCAGAGCCCTCTAGTTTTAATATATTATTATATTATTATATTTACATATTTGTTGTTTATAATCTTTTATTATTAACCACCTAGGAAGTGTATATAGTATATACATATGTATATGTATATATATATATATGTATACTAATATATATATATATATATATATATATATGTGTGTGTGTGTTCTTTGTATATAGAGTTGCATGAATACACAAATATACCTATATAATATATATATATATATATATATATAGCATAGCAAAGAAATATATCTACATATATAATCTAAACACAACATATAATAAATATGTAAATGTATATATATTAATATATATTGAGCAGGGGGCTTCATTTGTAGGTAAGGAGACAAAAGACAATAATAAAAAAGAGATATGACGGGCAGCTGGGGCTCTTAAAGAGGAGACAAAGGAGACACAAACGGTGCTGAAGTACCTGCAGCAACAGCAGCAGCAGCAGCAGCAGCAGCAACTGCAGCACGAGCAGCAGCAGCAACAGCAGCAGCTGCAGCAGCAACATGTTCAGTGTAGCGTGCCTGAGAGATAAAAAGACAGTTTAAAATATACCTCCTTGCTTTGCTGTTAGATTAATCGGAGACAAACAGCAGCAAAAGAAGAAGAATTTATACACCCCAAATATGCATGCAAGTCTTTATTTGTTTTTTTGTCTCTTTTTGCTGCGACTTCACATTTATTTTTTGTCTCCGTCTTTATTTTGTTCTCTTTGGGCGTTCCTCGTCTTTGTTTGTTTGTTTTGTTTTATTTATTTGCTTAATTTGTCGTACTTGTTTCGTCTGTTTGCTTGGTGTAGTTATTTTGTCCGATTTGTCTATTGTTTTGTTTAATTTGTTTATTTTGTTTAATTTGTTTGCTTTATTTGTTCTGTTTGTTTTTGTTTTTTGTTCTTTTTGTTGTTTTGTTTATTCTTTTTTCGTTTGATTGTTTTTGTCTTTATATGTCTTGTGCGTCTGTCTTCAGGTGTACGTACGCAAACACCTGCCTCTATTTTATATCTCTTTGTTGCTTTTAAATGGTGTCTCCTTTTGAAGCTCTTCTATTTGCTGCTGTTGCTGCACTGTCTGCTGCTGCTGTTGCTGCACCGTCTGCTGCTGCTGCTGCTGTCTGCTGGAGCGCTCTCTGGCTGCTTGCTGCTATCCTTCGTACCAGGCAGGCGCTCTCTACAGCAGCAGCAGCAGCAACTGCAGCAGCAGCGCTGCAGCAGCAACAGCACGAAGTAGAGCAGCTACAGCAGCTACAGCAGCTACAGCAGCTACAGCAGCTACAGCAGCTACAGCAGCTACAGCAGAAGCAGCAGCAGCTAGAGAAGCGGCAGAAGCAGCTACATCAGCGGCATCTACAACGGCGACAGCTACAGAAGCAGCAGCAACAATAACAGCAGCAGCAACAACAGCAGCAGAAGCAGCAATAGCAGCAGCAGAAGCAGCAGCAGCAGCACTGAGAAGGTGCTTTCCTGTCAACCAAACTAGGGTAGGAACGGCTGAAGGTTTAGGGTTTAGGGTTTAGGGTTTATAGTCATTAGAAGCCACAACCCCGAGACAACAGACAAACAAAAATAGACAAGGAGTTCAATGTCTACCTTAACCTACAACCCGGTGAGGGTTTAGGGTTTAGGGTTTAGGGTTTACAATGCGGGTTTGTTTGATCGCCGCTGCAGGTGGGTAAGGTTTTTATTTGTGTTGTTTATAGGCAGCAAGTGCTGCAGCATACTTAGCTTTTTCTTTAGCAGCAGCAGCAGCAAACTGCTGCTTCTCTGCTGCAGCAGCAGTCCTCCACATCTCTCCTAAAACCCTCGCCACCTCTTTTACATCTGACTTTAACTCGGGCTGCTGCTGCAGCACTTCAACTCTTTTATCTCTTGCGAACAGCATATAAGCAGACAGAGGCCTCTTAGGGGCTGCTGGGTCCTTCTGATGATGCCTTTTGCTGCTGGTACGCGGCGCCGCTACGTTGCTGCTGCTGCTGCTGCTGCTGCTGCTGCTGATACTGCTGCTGCTGCTGCTGCTGCTACCTCCGCTCCTCTTACCCCCTGAGGATGACACCTTAGCGGGAGGCGCAGCAGCAGCAGACGAACCGCCAGCCCCCCGACGGCTGCTCTTCGTGCTGGTCATTGGCATGCAGACTCTAAACCTCAAGACAGGGTTTAGGGTTTAGGGTTTAGGGTTTAGGGTTTAGGGTTTGCTGGGGATACACTGAAGTCCTCCAGCTAATAAAGACAGTCGCAACTTCTTTCTACAACGCCTGCAAAGCACAAAGAAGGCATCAACACACACGAAGACCGATCAAGAACCCTAAACCCTAAACAAAGCTAAACCCTAAACCCTAAACCCTAAACCCTTCAAATAAAAACTGTACTTCAAAGGGTAAAGACTTACCAAAAAATACATCAATCTTCGCTTTTCTTTATTTACTGACACCTCAGCAGCTGCAGCTGCAGCAGCAGCTGCTGCTGCTGCGGCTGCGCCTGCTGCGCGCACCAACGGACTGGTCCCTGCTGCTGCTGCTGCTGCTGCTGCTGCTGTTGCTGAGCGCTTCAGCGTTTGAATATGCAACTCATCTATTATAATAACTCAATTTATTTTTTGTTTTTAGAGGGTCAAATTATATATATCCTTAGGGTTAGGGTTTAGGGTTAGGGTTTAGGGTTTAGGGTTTAGGGTTTAGGGTTTTAGCGGCCACCTAGGTGACCCCGTGGAGCTATCCGTTTAACCCCAAAGAAGGAAACCTTTTATAGTTTGTCATTATGCAGTTTCAACAGAGTCTATTCTAATTAGTGTTTAGGATTTAGGCTTAACTGTTTAGGGTTTAGGGTTTAGGGTTTAGGGTTTAACGTCATTATGCCTCTTCTCACGCCTTTCTATGCAAAGCGACCATCCCACCTCTCAAAAATACTTTGTACGTACAGTGGCTTCTATTACTAAACCTAAACCCTAAACCCTAAACCCTAAACCCTAAACCCTAGCTAGCTCCAAAATAATAGCCTTGGCGCTGTCCTTTGCTATTAAGTGTCTCTCAGACTAATTAATAATAATCAGAAGTTAATAATTATATTAAATAATAGTAAATAAAATGATTACGAAGATAAATAGCAGAAATTGTTTTAAAAGATATCACAGATTAAACCACAACAATTATAAACGCTCATCTCTATTATGTAATATTAATTAAAAGGAATTAAAAAGTAATTAATTATATTACAAAAAGTTATCTATAACAATAATATATTCATATCTATATAGATGTAAAAGAGATTAAACTAAGAAAGGCAAATAGTATAATCTATCGCAAGTACAACAACCCCACCATGCGTTTAATAATAATACAAAAAAAGAGAGAAGGTTATTTTTATTGAATAATAACAATTAAAATGTTTATTCTTTTTTTTTAATCCTCAGTAAAGAATTAATATAATTATTTAAATTATAATAAATAAATATTGCTTATAATAAACATCTGTCGCAAGTACAACAACCCCACCACGCCTTTGGTTAATGCTTGCTAGAGACAAACAAACAAACAAAATACAAAAAAAAGAAAAAGACAGAAAAGAGACAGAGACAGAGGCAGAAGGAGACAAACTTCTTCGGTTAACAGAAACAAAAGATATAAAAGATATAAGAGAGAGAGAGAGACAGAGAGAGAGACAGAGAGAGAGACAGAGACAGAGAGTGACAGAGAGAGACAGAGAGGCAGAGACAGAGACAGACAGCGACAGACAAATTGCGTAAAAAGGAGACACCCAGAGGACGAGAGACAGAAGAGGGAAAGAGACAAAAAGAGACAAAAGCAAACAAACAGACAGATAGAGACAGACGAGGGTTTATAAGACGAGGGCTAATATATACATATATATATATATATAATCATATTATATTATACTATATTATTATATTTTATTATATTAGAGTATATCATAATACAATTCGTGTGTTGTGTTGTTCAGAATTGCAGCATGTGCTCGTGTGCGTCTGTCGATGCCTTCTTTGTTTTATCTGTCTCCATCTTATCTTTATTTGTTTTTAGATGTTTCTCTGTCTTATCTTTACTTGCTTTCATCTCTCTCTACATTATTTGTTTTTATCTTTCTCTACATTATCTTTATTTGCTTTTATCTGTCTCTATCTTATCTTTATATGCTTTTATCTGTCTCTATCTTATCTTCATTTGCTGTTATCTGTCTCTGTCTCTGTCTCTGTCTCCGTCTCTGTCTCTGTTTTGCTGCAAATCTGTTTGTAGACCTGAGGCAGACTGCATGACGATATTTATTAATGAAGGCATGCAGCCCGCAAGGGCTCCTTCAAATACACCTAACTTGCTGCTTCTGCTGCTGCTGCTGCTGCTGCTACAGCTAAGGGTGCCGGGGCAGCACAAGCAACAGCAAAAGCAGCAGCAGCACCAGCAGCAACACCCGCTGCTGCTGCTGCTGCTGCGGAGAGCAACTCAGAAAGAACAGCAAGCTGAAGGCTCCACTATTCCCTAAAGACAGCAGCGAACCGTTGTTTGCTGCCAGCAAATTTGTTGCTGCTACACGCAAATGTGCAGCAGCAACTGCAGCAGCTGCTGCTGTTGCTGCCTCATAGATAAGAGCAACAACACCCGCTACTGTTGCTGCTGCTGCTGCTGCTTGACAGGCAGCAGCAGCAGCAGCCTTCACTCCCTCTACGTCCGATAGCCTAATATGAGCTATCCACCTGCTGCTCAGCAGCAGCAGCAGCAGCAGCAAGAGCAGCCGCATTGCTGCAGATGCCGCTTCTACGGCAGCCATTCACTCGGCGTTCCTTGCGTAATCACGTACACCTGAACAGCAGCAGCAGCAGCAACAACAGCAGCAACAGCAACAGCAACAGAACTGGGTAGCCTTCTCAGGCAAAGTGCATTGGAAAGCGAGGCAGCAGATGCACATGGCGCTGCTGCTGCTGCTACTTCTGCTGCTGCTGCTGCTGCTGCTGCATGCGCCTGCTCAGAGGAAGAGGCGCATGCATGCATGCGTTGGGGCTTGCCTGATCTGTGGGGCAGAGTTTGAGGTCTTTGCTGGGGCAGGAGATAACGAGACCCAGCGGCTGATCTTGCAGCTCCAGCTGAGGTGAATTCGTAAGCTGTCTGTACACCCCAATAGCTATTTTCTTTTCTAAACTCAACAAATGCTGCAGCAGCAACAGCAGCAGCAAAGACACACGCAACAGCAGCAGCAGAAGCAGAAGCAACAACTTCAGCACCCCTCTCTCGTGCTCCTGCTGCAGCAAAACCCGCAGCAGCAACGCAGCTGCAGCAAAACCAGCAACAACAAATGCGCATTAACAGCAGCAGCAGCATCGGCAGTAGCAGCAGCAGCAACAGCGGCAGCAGCAGCTGCAGCAGCAGCACCAGAAAAGAGTTATACCTCAAAAAGCCTCCTAAAGGAACTGCCGAAGAACATGGGGGGTACGCTCTCCAAACACAGTGGGATCGCCGATCCCCCACGACCTGCGGTGCGTGCCTGCAGCAGCAGCAACAGCAGCAGCAGCAGCAGCAGCAGCAACAGCAGCCGTATCTTTCCACTGCACCATCAACAGCCCCAACAGCAACAAGAACAGCAGCACGCAGCAGCGCAACCCCGCAACCACCAGGAAGAAGAAAAAGAACAAAGACAAACACAAAAACGACAAGCAGCAGCAGCAGGAACAGCAGCAGCAGCAGGAAAAGCAGCAGCAGGAGGAACTGCACGAGCAGCATAAGCAATAGCAGCCGCAGCACGAGCAGAAGCAACACGAGCATCAGCCGCAGCAGCAGGACCAGCACGGGCAGGAGCAGCATGAGCACCAGCAGCAGC